CCTGCAAACCAAAGGGTTACTAGTTTGATTCCCAGTCAGGGCACATGCCTGGGTTTTGAGCCAGGTCCCTGGTAAGGGGATGCGTGAGAGGCAATCACACACTGATGTTTCTCTCCTTCTTTCTCTTTCCCTTCTCTGCTCTAAACGTAAATAATTAAAATAAACTTTTAATAAGAAAGTTAATAAACTTTTTTTAAGAAAAAACTCAGTTCAAAAGCACCATGCAATTAAAAAATGAACAATGGATCTGAACAAATATTTCCAACTCCAAGGAATATAGACAAATGGTTAAAAAGAAACAAAGCCGATGAAAGATGCTCAATATCATTAATTATCAGGGAAACACAAATAGAAAAATAGAACGGATACCACGTCATACCCACCAGCATATAGTTAGAATCAGGACGTCAAATAACAAGTGTTGATGAGATGCAGGTAACTCAGAACCTCCAAACATTGCCGATGGGAATATAAAGTTGGTGCAGCCATTTCAGAAAACAGTCTGGCAGTTCCTCAAGAAGTTAAAGAGTTAGTATTTGACCCTAACACTCCACTCCTAGATACATACTCCAAAGAAATAAAAATGTACTCCAAAGAAATAAAAATGTATGTCCACACTAAAGTTGCACACAAATATAATAATATTGGCTATTATTTATAATAGCCAAAAGGCTGGAACAACCCAAATATCCAAACTCATGAATGAATAAACCAAATGTGATATACCCATATGAGATAGTATTTTTAGGCCATACAAGTTCAGATACATGCTACAATGTGAATGAACCTTGAAAACATACTAAGTAGAAGAAGGCAATCACATAAGACCATGTATTATGTGACTCCAATCATATGAAATGTCCAGACTAAGAGGATACATAGAGACAGATAATATATTAGCAATTGCCTATCACAGGGGAAGAAGCACTGAGGGTTGGGGAGTAATGGAAAAAGAGCCTGGGTCTCTTTATGAGGTAATAAAAATGTTCTGTAATTGATTATGGTGGTGACTGCACAACTGTAAATATGTTAAAAATTACTGAATTGTAAGAGATTAAAAAGTACAAATTGGTAGTTACAAAATAGTCGTGGGGATATAAAGTACAGCACAGGAAATGAAAGTCAATAATATTATAATAACTACATATGGTAAATATGGATACTGGAAATATCAGGGTGAACACCTTGTATATGATTATCTAACCACTATGTTGTTTACCTAAAAGTAGTATTTACAAAATAATATTAAATGTCAACTGTAATTGAGGAAAAAGATGATTGAACTGTACACCTGAAATGGATGAACTCTACAGTATGTGAATATCACAATAAAGCTGTTATAAAAAATAATAGGACTTCTGGCCAAGATGGAGGTGTAGGTAGACCACTGTGCCTCCTTGCACAAACAAAATTACGGACAACAAAAATTTAGAGATAAAAAAGCACCCAGAACTGACAAAAAAATTAAACTGTATGGAAGTCCAACAACTATTCATCCAGACCGGTAAGAGGGGCAGAGTCAGTGGCAGGCAGAGAGGGGTCGTGGCAGGAAAAAGCAGTAGCTTGGGGACCCAGGTGCACAGGCGGCGGTTGGCAGACCCCAGGTGCGGGGTGGCAATGAGCAGACCCAGTGAGGCCCACAAAGCAGCTGGCTGACCATGGTCACACATTCTCATGGAGATAAACCAGGCAAAAAGGGGCAGCGAGACAGACAGGGCAACCCCAGGGCCCCAGCACCTGGAAATAAAGCCTAAAAGTACCGATTGAAACACTTGTGGGGGTTGAGGTGCCAGGAGAGACTCCCAGCCTCACAGGAGAGTTCATTGGAGAGACCCATAGGGTCCTGGAACGTACACAGGTCCACCCACCCAGGAACCAGCACCAGAGGGCCCAGTTTGCTTGTGGGAAGAGGCAGAAAAGACTGACATCCAAGAGAAGAGCAAAGCAAGCACCACTGTAACCTCTCTGACCCCGCCCCCACATACAGCAACCCAGCAACTGGGTTGCCCCATCCTGGTGAACACCTAAGACTCTGTCCCTCACTATATAACAGGAACCACCAGACCAAAAAAAGAAAGAAAAAGGCTCAAACAGAAGAACAGATTAAAGCCCCACAGCCAATACTTCTAAGCCACCAAGAGATAGCTAAACTGTCAGATGCACAGTTCAAAGCACTGGTGATCAGGTTGCTCACAGAACTGGTTGATTTTGGTCGCAAATTAGATGGAAAAATGAAGGCTCCAATAAGTGAAATGAAGGAAAATGCACAGGGAACCAATAGTGATGGGAAGAAAACTGGGACTCAAATCAATGGAGTAGACCAGAAGGAAGAAAGAAACAACCAAACAGAAAAGAATAAAGAAACAACCAAAGAAAAGAATGAAGAAACAAGAATTCAAAAAAATGAGGAGAGACTTAGGAACCTCCAGGACATCTTTAAATGTTCCAACATCCGAATCATAGGGGTACCAGAAGGGGAAGAGGAACAGCAACAAGTGGAAACCTTATTTGAACAAATAATAAAGGAGAACTTCCCCAATCTGGCAAAGGAAATAAACTTCCAGGATGTCCAGGAAACTCAGAGAGTCCCAAAGAAGGTGGACCCAAGGAGGAACACACCAAGGTACATCATAATTACATTACCCAAGGTTAAAATGAAGGAGAAAATTCTAGAAGCAGCAAGAGATAAGGGGACAGTCACCTACAAAGGAGTTCATATCAGACTGTCAGCTGATTTCTCAAAAGAGACCTTACAGGCAAGAAGGGGCTGGATAGAAGTATTCCAAGTCATGAAAGACCTACATCCAAGATTGCTCTACCCAGCAAAGCTCTCATTTAGAATAAAAGGGCAGATAAAGTGCTTCTCAGATAAGGTAAAGTTCAAGGAGTTCATCATCACCAAGCCCTTATTCTATGAAATGTTAAAAGGACTTATCTAAGAAAAAGAAGATAAAAAATATGAACAGTAGAAAATAAAAAGACAGCAAATTCACAGTTATTAACAACCACACCTAAATCAAAAGCAAACTAAGCAAACAACTAGAACTAGAACAGGAACAGAACCACAGAAATGGAGATCACATGGAGGATTAGCAACAGGGGAGTGGGAGGAAGAGAGAGGGGGGAAAAGGTACAGAGAACAAGTAGCATAGACTGTAGGTAGAAAATAGACAGGGGGAGGGCAAGAGTAGTATGGGAAATGTAGAAGTTAAAGAACTTATGACACATGGACACGAACTAAAGGGAGGGAATGTGGGTGAGAGGGGGTGTGCAGAGTGAAAGGGAATGAAGGGGGGAAATGGGACAACTATAATAGCATAATCAATAAAATATATTTTAAAATAATAATTAGAAGATTTCTCATTTATTTCTACAGTCTAGAATTTTAAAATATAGAATATTTATTTATTTTTAGAGAAGGAGAAGAGAGGGAGGAAGTGGGAGAAAGAGAGGAAATGAAACATCAATGTGAGAGAGAAACATTGACCAATTGCCTCTTACGACCTAGGCATGTGCTGTGACTGGGATCGAACCGGCAATCTTCCGCTTTGTGGGATGATGTCCAACCGAGCCACACAGGTCAGGGCAAAAATATACAGTATTTAAATAGTATTAAATTATCTATATAAACCAACTACTACTTCTGGTACCTTGTTAAGTTTCTTTCATCACCCTTCTAAACCCCTCTATGGTTTCTAGTTGTTATGGCTATTTTTCTTTCTTTTTCCTTTAATTTCTTAGGGTCAGTTTTGAATTTAGATTTTGCTAACTATCACTCACTTCACCTAGATTTTCCAAAAGTTAATGCCATGCACTGTCCACCCTCTGCAATCTGCTCTCTGTTCTCTTCCTACCTCTTATTAGCTCCCAACCCAAGAATCAGACCTTGTATGATCCCTCCAACTTCTGTTGCCAAAGCCAATGGGTATCTTCCCTCTTTCCAGCTCTCTTAGTGGCAAATACACAGCCTGAATTTCAATTATCCAAGCCGGACCCTTAACCTCATCTCACTGCTGAGAATCACTGCACTGAGAAAGACCAGAGGTGAATTTAATACACATGAAAAAAGACTGATAAATGCTATTTCCTATGGCTCCCCTTGACTTCTATCACCTGCTCATAAATCCCTTCAGCCTCCTCCAAGGTGATGGCAGCCAAGCCTCTCTCTATCCCAGGCCCATCTTCTCAATTCTCTCCCTACTGTACAGGCCCCTATAACTCCACCCGACCTCTAACAGCTTCCTCCAACCCACCATGTCACCACCCTTTAAACAAAACAAAACAACTCCCTCATCCCCCACATACTCTGGCTTCTATGCTAGGCACTGAGGATCCACTAAAAAAATTAAGACAGAATTTGTTCAATTTCTTGTCAGACTTGTTCCTTTATCTGTACCGTATTCTGCCCTCTCCATCATGGCAGCACCACAGTCCCTTAGGTATTCAGGCCAGAAATCTGAGACATCCCAGACTCCTGGTCTCTCCCTCAAGCTTGCCCTCTTAACCAGATCTTCTATCCTGCTGTTCCCTTCATTCCCAAGGTATTAGGTATACCTTTATGCAACAGCCTGTCATTGGCTCCAGCTTCCCTCCTATACCAGGTGCCCAAAGTCTCTAGTTCAACGACAACACTAATCTTGTTAGGCACTCACTTACAAACTTTGCTGCCTATGGAAACAAGTTCAGACCCCTCAGCCCACCCATCATGAATCTCGGAAGTCCAACTTTTCCTTCAGCAACATGTGTACTGTACACTTATGTTTGCTTTCTGAACCTAGTCTGGCCATTGGCCCCTATGCACATGGAGTTCCCCATATCCCACAGCCTGTTTGCTCCTTACAATCCAGCTCTGATGCTGCCTTCTCCAGCAGAGTCCCCACTTCCCACCCTTGTCTGTGACTACACTGGACCAGAAATGTCTATACCTACCTGTCCCCTGCAGTCCCTCACTGGATGGCACATTATGTAGCCCTAGCATCTCCCATTGGATGGCCACTCACCCTACGATTCCGGTTATGATCCACAGTCTTCAGGTGCTTCTGGATGATCCCAAACTGCATGGGAATGAAGAGGTCACAGGCTGCACAATGGGCTGCCTCTACCTTCTTTACAAAATGCTCCATGGCAATTTCTGCGGGGAAAAAGGAGAGAGTTGCCACTGGTACCAGGTGTCTAAGACAAACCCAAGAGTTTGGGAAAAACACAGACTAGCTCACTTCATCCTGTGAGTTCCGCATGAACCCAAGGCTATTCTCACAAACCCTCTCTGGGGGAAGAAGGAAGTCATGATCAGAGGGCAGGTTGAGACCCTGTCACTGGAATAGGATGGAACCTTCTCACCTTGTGTCAGATCCTGGTCTCTGTAAATCTGCTGGATCAGACCATCAAGGTCCTCTACAGTTTTTCGGAGTTCCTCTGTCTTCTTGGTCTTGTTGGTGACGTATTCCTGCCAGAGACAGCAAGGAGAGAACCACACCAAGGTTCATGTGGGCTGCTCTGTGTCCTGAAGGGACTGAAGAGAGAAGAGCAGCTGTGCCGCTTCAGGGCTCACCTGCAGAAAGTCAGCCGTCTGTTTGGGAAGCTTGGTGCCTACGTACTTAAAGTGTTCCTTGTGGAACTTGCTGTCGAGGTGGCTGGCCATCTCATCCTCATAGAAGGTTCGGTACTTGCAGAGAGAACACACAAACTGGATCCTGCCACAGGAGGGAAATAAGGGCTGAGGCCTGAGTGTCTCATGGAACAGCGCTGTCACCTCACCCAACAACCCAGCTGTGAGCCCTGAACAGGCTCTGCTCATGGGCCTCTGAAGTGCAGTCCCAGCAGGGGGACAGGCTTAGACCAGTGGGGTCGGGAATAGAAAGGGACAGAACGTCTGTAGGATGCAGTTACTGCAAAGTGGGGGACAGGGGAGGAGCTCTTTCTTCCCACAGGCAGGAGGCTGAAGCAGCAGCTGCTGCAACAGGCAAGGAGTCGCTGGAAGGTAGCCGGAGGGCCTCTCTACCAAGGCTGGGCAGGAGCTTGTGCACTTGGCCCAGTTGGAGACCAGAAGGAAGGATGCCCCGGCATGAGCCAGGTGGCCCTGAGGTGCAAAGTGAAGTACGTAGTCCCGAGGCAGGGCCCGAAAAGGTGCTGCATCTTCCTCCTGGGGCCTGGGGGACTGAGAGGCCCAGCCCATCCTCTGCTCAGAGTGCTTGGGGGTGGTGTCGGGAGGGATGGGAGGCAAGCAGGCCTGGGCACCTGCTGCCTCATCTTCCTCTTCCAAGAAGAGACCAGTCTGAGCTAGAAGGAGGATGCCTGCCTGGCCTGCCAGAGGGCAGTCTGGAGTCACCTGAGCGAGGTGCTCTGTCTGGGCCTGGTGTCCACAGCAGAAGCCTGGGGTCTGGGGCCTGGGCAGGAACAGGCCGCCGTGGCAAGGGGCAGAGGAGGCCAGCCGCCACCGAGGCCTCGGGGCAGGTCCCTACCTCTGCCGGACGTCCTTATCTGGGCCACGGGGTCAGCTTTTTCTGGAGAGCCCAGGGGGCCGGGCGCCGGCGAGGCTGAGGAAGGTCCAGCAAGAGCAAGAGTCTGAGGCGGAGGAGGAGGAGGCAAGCGCCAGTACGGGAGCCCTGAGGGCAGACAGACCCGACCAAGGGGCGTGAAGGGCTCAGCCGTAGATAGAACCGGCCTGATAGGGCCAGCGGACAGGGCAGAGGGCAGGCCCGAGGCTGCCATAGCCCACAGGTGCTGCCATCTCTCCTGGGTATGGCGGCAGCCTCTTGGCAGCTAGCTGGGGTGGCACAGGCGCCTTGGACCTTGAGTCTCTGATGAGCTGGCCCCCTCCCACAGGGGCATCAGGCCCCCAGTGCACCTCGAGGCTCCTGCGCCGTGACCAAGCGCCGGAGCTTCTGGGCAACAGTGCTGAGCAGTGTCTGATCTCAGGCCAAAGACACCAGTGGTCACCAGGTGGCCTCAGAGAGACAGGGGATGAGCCAGGCCTTGGAGCTGGGCTGGGTGGGAAGCAGGGTCCATGCACGGCCGAGCAGGTGGCAGTTCCCAAGGGAGGCCAGAGGGCGATGAGGCAGCAGGGCCCTGCTCTCCTGGCAGCAGCCCCATTGTGAAGCAGAGGCAAAAGGGTGGGGAGGAGGGAGCTGGTTACCTTTCTACCATGCGGTCTCGCTGCCGTTTCTTCTGCTTGTCCTGGCTCTTCTTGCCTGCCTGTAACTTGCGCTTGGTCTGGCTACTCTCATCCTGGGTGCTCAAAGACCCTGTAAGAACAAAGGAGCATAGCTACCAGCTTGGCTCCAACAGGTCAGGGCAGGCCCTGTGGCCTGTAGCTGCATCACCTGCCATCTAGTCCAGGGCATCCGTTTTGAGAGCAGCTGCTTCAGCAAGGCCTCTGGCCTTGAGCACGTGGTACCCTGGACTGGACAGGGAGCAGTTTTGGCTTGGGTCTTGGCCTTAAAAGGGGAAACACACACTGACCCCCACCATTCTCCGGGACACCCACACTCTGCAGAGGGCTACCAGGAGGCTGGAAGGCAAAGAGAGGCCAACTTGGTGGGGAGGGCCTATGTGTGAAATGCAGTAAGGCTACAGCTGGGGTCTAAGTGCAGCCCCCAGAGGCAAAGACCCCAATGTGACCCCAGGTCACATTACTAAGGGACCTGGGGTTCACCTATACTTTTGTTTGCTGCCCCCCTCTGAAGTCAAAACCAATGCGCTAGGAGGGGCCATCATCACCCATAGCCTCTCTGAAAATAGGGACAGAGTAGAAAGGGGCCTGAGAAAGAGGAGCCCCCTGCCAGCCCCACAAAGGAAGGCCCAAGCTGGGCATGTTTATGCCACAACCCTGCCCTCAGCTGGATGCCTCCCACAGTGAGCACCTGGAAGAGCTGCTGCAACACACAGACCACTCAAGCGACTCACCCTTGTCTGCATCCTCTTTGCCGTCTTCCTTCCCCTCCTCTTTTCCCTCTTCGTCTTCTCCTTCCTAAGACACGATTTCAAAAACCCAATGTCAAGCATTTGCAGTTGTTTGCAATGGCTATAAATGACAAGGCCCCGAACATGACAGGTATTGGGCCAGGTGCCACACATCTTCCCAGCAGCCCTTGCAATGAGGGCTCATTCTACCTCTGGCTGGGGAGCCTCCTAACAGCCTCGCTCCCTCTACCAGAGATCTCTGCCTCCCTGTGCTGATCATACATGTGTGTAGAACTGCCTCAGGCCAGCCTGTGAAAGCCCTGCTCTGTGGCTCAGGGACTCAGGCAGTCCACTCTTCACTGGCACCCCTACAGATGAAGCATGCAGAACCAGAGCCACTTACCACTCTGGAGTCCCTTTCCACAGCGTCTGCACCTTCAGTGCCATCAGCAGCTTCCCCTTCAGTGCCCTCATCTGGAAGGGGAGACACATTCAGCCCAGGAGTTTCAGGGGCAGGAGGTTGGGGCTGTGACCAGTGACAATAGTGACCCTTGCTCACCATTGTCTGAGTCACTGTTGTCTGAGCAATCAGTCCGGGAGGCTTTGCTGTCTGGCTCATCAGGGCTGCCACTCTGCTTTCTCTTCTTCTTCTTGGTCTAGGTCAGAAAGAGGGAGCTGGGTCAGGGCAGGTGGCTCTGAGCTCCTTGTCCACCTAGTCAGCAGGCAGGAAGAAAGACGTCTTCCACTTACCCGGAAGTCAGCTGTGGTCCAGGTCTTCCAAGTCCGCCTCATCTGCTTCATGCCATTGCCAAACCCGAAGCCAAAGCGGGAGCTGCCTGGGAAGGCACCACCACCTCGCATGCCCTGGAACATGCCATACTCCGGGATGATGTTCTGGGAGAAGAGGGAGGGCAGCCTGGAGGCACCAGGCATGCACTGGCCCCGGGCCCCCATGGGGTCTTCCCACATGCGCCCATAGCCTGAGGCCACTGGCCGGCTACTTCGGGAGTCCCGGGCCCAGCCCTGAGCCCGTGGGCCAAAGGTGTCGCTGCCACGCATGCGAAACTGGTCTCGGTAGGCATCATACTGGCCCTCGTAGGCCATTTCCATCTCAGGGTCAAGTTCGCCATAGTCGTAGCCCGACCGGTAAAGGTCACGCTCACTCAGGACAGCCCTTGAGTCGCAGGCCTCGTAGGAATCATATCTGCAGAGGCAGGTGGCAAGGATCAGGGAGGGCCTCAGGTCCCGTCGCCTTTCCTTTCCCCCAAACCCCCGTCCTGGGGACAGGAACCTCTGTTCCAGTACCCATCCACCTTGCTGGAGAGGCCCAGTGTTGAGAAATGCCAGATAAAAGGCCTCTTGGGAGCAGAGTTTGAACAGTAGGGATGGCCCCCATCAGCTAATGGTCCCAAGCCTGCATATGGACAATCACCAGCCTGGGGACCCTAAAAAGGACTGAGGACCGAGGTGGAATAAGTCTCAGGGACAGACAGAGACACTGCAGACCCCTTAACCCTTTGGGAGCACATGCATTTCTCTGTGGCACCCACTCCACCCAAGGTTGTTCCTTGGCAGAGGCAGAGCTGAGCACCCAAACTACCTCCAGCACATGAAATGCCTGTCCAATGGGCTGATAACGCCCATGAGAAACCTGTACTGATCTCATCCCTCATGGGTAGGGGAATCCCAAAACCCTCCAAAGCCCCTCATTACTGAAAAAGAGAAGGGGAACAAATGGGAAATGTTTCCCAGGAAAAACACTTTGAGCTTGCCCGAGGACTAGAAAAAATGCTTTATTACATCAACCTGGAACTGTGGGGGAGGGGCTCGAACCCTACATAGCAATGAGAAAGGTAGGCTAAACCTCCTATGGCAGGAGACAGGGCACTGCAGAGAGCCATTCTACCCGTGGCTGTAGCCCACAGTCCCATAGGCCCAGACCCCACTTGTCTCACAGGCACAGGAAGTGGCCAATGCTACCCAGTTGCCACTTCATCCCTCACACCTGGATCCTGGCTGTAGCAAGATGGTATACAGGGTCCACATTGCCACTGAGACAAGAGCCCAGCCCCTCTCTGCCTTTGGCAGCCTCAATTTCAAGCACTGTGGCTGTCAGCATGGGGCCAGGGGTTGTGCCTCAGGTTCCCCCAACACTTTTTGCTTTCTACATAACCCATGCAAGCAAGCCCCTCTGCCTCCCAGTGGCCCTGGGGATCTCACTGGACCCCACCAGTACCCAGCCAGGCCCCTCCTTGCTTTCTGCTCTCCCCATCTGTCAGGTGGAGCCATTAGACCACTTTGCTCCACCTTGTGCTAGAAATCCATGTGCCCCCTCACTGAAGCTTCTTGCTAGAGCACAAGAATTCCTGGGCCACCACCAGTTCAGATAGTGACAAGTGCCTACAGAGTGATGCTGTGGAGTAGGGGGCAGTTCTGGGTGCCAGGCCCAGCTCCACCACTTACTCCTGGGTGCCTTCAGGCAAAGGTGTGACATGCCTGTGCCTCATGTTGCCCATCTGCAGAATGAGGACAGGACAGTTCTTCACAGGGTACGTTGGAGGCTCAACAGGTGCACAAGTCTGTCAGGTACTGAAGGGAAGCCAGGAAGTGTTCACATCTGCCCTGTCCCTTATGTAACACTGTGCTCAGCCCCACAGGCTCATCCCACTCTTCATACCCAACCCATCTGTCTTGCCCTGACAACGGGAGTATGCAAACTCTTGTGCAAATTCTCAATGGCTGTCTCCAGAGGTAAGGGATACTTAACACTCTGCTCCTAAGAGCCATTTGGAGGGTACAGTAAAACCAGCCTGGTTTGAGGTTGTTCTCCTCCTCTACAAGCTTGGGGAAAGGCTGGCCACTGGGCAGTGGAGGTGAGGGCAGGGGGGCAAAGCCAGAGGATAGTGTACTGGACCCCAGCAGAGTCTCTGGGAACCTCAGCAAGAGAGTAAGGAGGGAGGAAGCAGACACATAGGCGGTTCAGAGAAGGAGAACGCAGCAGGCAGCAGGTGGGAAGCGCTCCTACAGAGCCTCAGCCCCTAGGTAGGTGCCCACTCACCTTTCTCCACCTGAGCTGTACATGCTTCCTTGTATCATGTCTGTCTCCAAGTGTGGCACCATATCTAAGCGCTGGTTAATTCTGGACAAAACGGAATCGGCACTGGTGCTACCCACAGCACTAGGGTTTGCATTTGTGTCAGAGCTAGGCATTTCCCAAGAGTTTGAAGTGGCCATACCATACCCATAGTTGGTGGTGTTATCCTGGCCATAGCCATAGCCATAACCATAGTTCTCGTAGCCTGCAACAGGGAGAGAGACAGACAGAGATGGCCGGGGCAGGGAGAAGAGGCAGAGACAAGGCCAAACACAGACACAAGGACATTTTCTGTTAGAGACAATCCAGGGACCCTAGCCACCCGAGGAGTTCTCCTGTGAAGGAGTAGCCAGCCCAGAGTCCTCAAAGGCACCATCCCACCTGATCAGGCTGGGCAGTGGCAGAAACATACAACCAGCTCAATCCCAAGGGAGAAGAGAGCAATCATGGAAATGATACTTGCCTCTGTTTGTCCCAGAGTTCCAAGTTCCATATCCTACAAAAAGTAAAAAGGTAGTTACCTCTTAAAATACAATGAGAGTTTAGTTCAGGAATGAAGGAAAACAATGACTTCTACTACCTGGCTGTAGGAGACTGAACCTGTCCTTAATTGAGAAGCCTGGAGCTTGAGAGGACCACATAAATGATCTAGGCCACTTGCTGCCCTGGCGCTCCACTTTCTGGGGCTCTGACCACCTGCTATTCGAGAAGCTTTCCCTTCAAAACCCCATACTCTCTTAAGAACCCAAAATTGGAAGATTACTCCTGTTCTTGGCTAAGCACTGATCAGAGGAAAAGGAAAGTGGCTCCTAGTGCCTCACATAGATTCTGCTGTACAAGAAGCTCAGCACCAAGTCCACACCCACTCTGAAGTCGTTTCACTCAAATTATCCAACAAAGTTCTGTGGAGTAGAGAAACTGACCATGCTAGCCCCTCAACTGTTAGGAAGGGCACCAAGCCATCAAACTGTATGAGTGGAACACATCAGCAGAGGGAAAGACAAGACACAACTCCAATTTGGATTATAAACTAAACATGCTCTGTAGTTTATCACAGAACAGGTGAAAAATTTATTCCTTCGGGAACACAAAGCCATTTAGAACTGATGAAGTATGAAGTCAAGTGGTAACTGAGTCAAGCAGACATTCTTCCTCCACAAGGGAACCCATGAAAACAGACAAGCACCTTTCCAGTGTCTTTGGTGACTGCTCAGAGTCATCTCCTACTCCTGGTTTTCTCTGCCATGCAGAGAGGCCATGCTCAGTGAGATGGCAGCATAATGAATGGCAGAAGCCATCCAATAGTGGAGCAAGAACACACACACTGAAAAGAACTAGGCAGAACATGGGACAGACTGAGATCCTTCTTAATCTAGTGCACAAACAGAATGGGGAGGTGTCAAAAACCAGCAAGGGACTTTAGATGACCATTACATTTAATGAATGTGAGCACATTAAATGTGTGTGAGCACATCAAATGAATGTGTGCTCATGAAGCAAAAAAGCTCTTCATCTGGGGAAACCAAAACAGAGGCTTCTCATTCATTCACTTATTCAAAAACTATCATCTTGACTTCCGCCAAGATGAAGGCATAGGTGGAGACGCCGTGCTTTCTCACACAACCAAGTTTAGAGACAACAAAATATTAGCAACAGAAAACACAGCCAAAACACAGAAAATTGAACTTTTTGGAAGTCTGATAACAACAAATTCTTCAGCCTGACCGGTAAGAGGGGCAAAGCCAGCAGCTGGCGGAGCAGGGTTGCACAGGAAAACTCAGTCAGATGGATTCAGGCATGCGGGTCCCAGGCATGGGATTGCAACGGGCAGATCCAGTGAGTGACCCAGTGAGCGACAGGCGGACCCAGCGAGGGCACTGGTCGGCAGGTTGACTGTGGTCACACATTTGTGCGCAGATAGACCAGCGAAGGAGTGAGCAGGGAAATGGGACTGAGCAGGCCCCAGCGGCAGGAAGCAGTACAGGGGGCCGCCATTTCCCCGCTCTGACCCCCGCCCCAACACACACAGCGTCACAACCCAGTGACCTGGGCAGCCCCGCCCTAGTGAAAACCTAAGGCTCCGCTCCTCATACTTAATGGGCGCAAACAGACCAAAAATGGCTCAAGAAGATCTCAAAGCCCCAGAGCCCATAACTCTAAGCGATGAAGAAATAGCAAAACTTTCAGATGCACAGTTCAAAACACTGGTGATCAGGATCCTCATAGAACTGGTTGATTTTAGTCACAAATTAGAGGAACATATGAAAGCTAAACTAATTGAAATGAATGGCAATGCACAGGAAACCAATAGTAAAGGAAAGGAAACTGGGTCTCAAATCAAGGGAGCAGACCAGAAGGAAGGAAAAAATGACCAAACTGGAAAATATGAAGAAACAAGAATTCAAAAAAATGAGGAGAGACTTAGGAACCTCCAGGACATCTTTAAACGCTCCAACATCCGAATTATAGGGGTACCAGAAGGGGGAAAGGCACAGCCACCAGTGGAAAACTTATTTGAACAAATAATAAAGGAGAACTTCCCCAGTCTGGCAAAGGAAATAGACTCCCAGGAAATCCAGGAAGCTCAGAGAGTCTCAAAGAAGCTGGACCCAAGAAGAAACACCAAGGCACATCATAATTACATTAGCCAAGATTAAAATGAAGGAGAGAATCCTAGAAGCAGCAAGAGATAAGGGGACAGTCACCTATAAAGGAGTTCCCATCAGACTGTCAGCAGATTTCTCAAAAGAGACCTTATAGGCAAGAAGGGGCTGGAAAGAGGTATTCCAAGTCATGAAATCCAAAGACCTACAACCAAGATTACTCTATCCAGCAAAGCTTTCATTTAGAATGGAAGGACAGATAAAGTGCTTCTCAGATAAGATCAAATTCAATAAATTCATCATCACCAAGCCCTTATTATATGAAATGTTAAAGGGACTTATGTAAGAAAAAGAAGATAAAAAAGATGAACAGTGAAAGGACAGCAAACTCACAGTTATTAACAACCACACCTAAAAACAAAAGCAAACTAAGAGGACAGCTAGATCAGGAGCAGAACCATAGAAATGAAGATCACATGGAGGGTTAGCAACAGGGGAGTGGGAGGAGGTGAAGGGGGAGAAGGTACAGAGAATAAGTAGCAAAGACGGTAGGTAGAAAATAGACAGGGGGAGGGCAAGAATAGTATGGGAAATATAGAATCTAAAGAACTTGAGACATGTGGTCATAAACTAAAGGGGGGGAATGAAGGGGGGAATAGAACAACTGTAATGGCATAATCAATAAAATCAAGTAAAATTAAAAAAAAAAACAAAAAACTATCATCTTGAGCATACAGTGCAGAGCCTGGGAGATATGGGCACTGCTCAAGCCCAGAACATGGCATGTTAAAAGAGACAATACAAACCAATGAATGGCAATGGATAGTCAGGAGTGGGAAATCACATAACGAGTGATGGGTAAGAAAAGAGGCTGGCAAAGCTACACAAGGAATAATGCACTTAGCCCTGGCAGCTACGAGAGCCTAGCCATGTGGCTATTTGCACAAGGGACAGTGACCCTAACTATTCAAAAGGAAACAGGACTGGGAGGCAAGGCAGACCCATTGAGGCTGTTAGTGAGGCTGTTAGTGAGGCTGTTAGTGAGGCTGTTGAGGACCTACCAGAACAGTGAGGAAGCACAAGGGAAGGAAGGAGTGGACACTGCCTCTGTGAACACAAGCACAGGCTGCTGGCTGCTATGATGGGCTCAGACAAGCAGCCCCTATGTACCAATTCCTATGCCCAGAGCAACCCAGACTCCCTGATGGATTCCCTAGGTGGGTCTTTTCACACAGAAACCTTTGTTTATCTATCCTATGGCATTTGGAGACACAACCCTCACCCTCCAAGACTTGCTCCTTTCAAAAGAATATCCAAACTCACTTCCATTCCCAGAAACATAAGATCGCTTGCTAACAAAGGGAATTTTTAGGACATTTCTTTTTAAATTAGTTTCTAAATCCCCACCTGAGAACATACTCACTAATTTCAGAGAGAGCAGAAAGGAGGGAGAAATGTAAGAGAGAAACATCAACCAGTTGTCTTTCATATACGCTCTGACTGGGGACCAAACCCACAACCTAGGCATGTGCCCCAACCAGGAATCAAACCTGTAACCCTTTGGTTTGCAGGATGATGCCCAACCAACTGAGCCACACCAGTCAGGGCTGGAACATACATACATACATATACGTACATATGCATATAAACATACACACACACACATTTTTTAAAGAAACAAATCAGAGAAAGAAAATGGTCACAGTAAGCAATACTTATAAAGCAAAAATAAATTCTCAGTGAAATATCTCATATAGGCACCAAAAAAGAATCTATTAAGCTTTATGTAGCATAAGAAAATTTGCTATAGTAAGAAAAATAAAGCTGGATACACAATTCTAGCCATGTATAAATTATTCAACGACCTAAGATAGATATGCTGATACAGTTAAATATTTAAATGGTGGGATCTTGATGGAATATTTTTCAAAATGTTACTTAAATGCTGTTATATCGTTTCTGAAATTTAAGCCAGAAGGAAAAACAAAACTGTCGCTATACTTTCATAGCATGATTGTCTACAATAAAAACAACAACAAAAAACACCACTCAAGCAATCTATAAGTTACTAGAGTTTAGCAAGGTTTATTACAAAGTCAATATACAAAAATCAACCCAACCTCTACATATCAGCAATGAACAACTGAAAACTGAAATTTTTAAAACCATCATTTACCTTAGCATTAAGAAAGACTTAAGTGTAAATTACAAAATATGTGAAGGATCTATATGTTGGAAACTACAAAACACAAAAGAAAGAAATCTAAGATCTAAATAAATGGAGTATTATGGATTGGAAGACTTAATATTGTTAATATGCTAATTCTCCCAAACTAATCCATATATTCAAGGCCATCCCATTCAAATCTCATCAGGAATTTTTATTTTTTATTTTTTAATTTACTTTTTATTATTTAAAAATTTTTTTAATTTATTTATCTTTAGAAGGGAAGGGAAGGAGAGAAGAGAAATATCAATGTGTGGTTGCTTCTGGTGCATCCCCTGCTGGGAACTGGCCTGCCACCCAGGCATGTGCCCTGATGGGGAATTGCCATCAGGAATTTTTATAGAAATGGATAAAACTGATTCTAAAATTTATATGCAAAAAAATCAAAGGAACTAGAATATCCAAGTCAATTCTGGAAAAACAAATAAACCTGGATGATTCACATTAACTGATGTCAAGGCTTACTATAAAGTAATCAAGACAGTGTAGAACTGAAGGGTATTTAAACATATAAATCAATGCAACAGAATTATAGTACAGTCACAGATTCATACATACATGTTCAATTGATTTTTAACAAAGGCAAAAAAGAATCTTGACCTATACTGCACACTTTGTAAAAATATTAACTCAAAATGGATCACAAAATAAATGTCAAACACAGCCCTGGCTGGTGTGGCTCAGTGTTGAGTGTCGTTGGCCTATGAAGCAAAGCATCACCAATTCAATTCCCAGTCAGGGCACAGTGTTGGGTTGTAGGCTAGGTCAGGTCTCCAGTTGGGGGTGTGTGAGAGACAAACACACATTGTTGTTTCTCTCCCTCCCTTCTCCTCTATCTAAAATAAACAATTAAAAAAAACTTATAAATAAGTAAGTAAATAAATAAATGTCAAACATAAAACTACGAAACACCTAAAGAAAAGAAATCTTAGAAGGAAACCTTTGTGACCTTGGGTTAGGCATAAATTTCTTACAAACCCAAAATCACAATCTACTAAAGACTGATAAATTGAGTATCAAAATGAAAAATTTGTGTTCTTCAAGAGACACTGATGAGAATAGAGAGAAAAGCCACAGTCTGGGAGAAAGTATTTGCTAATGGCACACCTGATAAAATGCTTATACCCAGGATACATAAACCAGAGGGAAAAATTTCAAAAAGGATGTGCAACTTGGTACTGTGTTTGATTAAAAGGGGTGAGGCAAGGCAGGCAGGAGATGGAAGCCATGCAAACCAAGTTTCTCCTCGTTTATGAAATACCTGATAACTCCTCACCCAATTTTAAAATATTTTAAGTCTCCCTGTCCTACAGGGAGCAACTGCTAATATTCAGGTAGCTCACTTATGTCTATTTACTCAATGAGAGAATGTCACCACTGTAGGCTGTCTTTCCCCACAGCTTGGTAGTAAGACAAACTAACCTTCTCAGCAAACTAGACATTATCCTTATTAATTCCAAAGAAGGCTCCTTGTCAACTGACAGGCCATGGGAAGACCAGCTTTATCAGCTGAATTACATTTAGTATGTCTGTCCACACTTGAGAAATCAAGCAGCAAATTTCCCTTAACCCTACATGCAAGGAGCTGCCTGGCTTGAGATGGCCTGACATCTCCAAAAACTTGCTAGATTCAGACAGGCAGCCTCTGTGGCACAGCAGTCCCATATACTACCCTAGGGCTCAGTTCATGGCTTGGTCTCTGCTCACACCGATCAGGCTGCTCTGGCACTAGAAGGCACTCACCCACTCTCTGGTTCCCAGGGGCCCAGACTTACCATAATCACAGGTAGGCTGAGTACTTGTGTCTGAGTACGTTGACTGCAAAGTGGTTTCAGATCCCTGGACAAAGCCTAAACATATGCAGAGTGTGGTTAATTTCCCCAAATGAGCCATCTGTTAATGACCTAAGACTACCCTTTAGTGTAGACTGACAGGTCTGCCCCTCACAGGAAAGCCACCAAACACTCTAGCTTCTGAACCCTTTAATTACACCTCCAGAACATATTAACCAATGGAAAGGCGGGCTATATTTAACTTGCTGCGCCAGAAGAATTAGATAAAAATGTTCAAATACTTGAAACCAGTAACCTGTTTTGATAAATGAGTACCCAAAATATCATTCACTTAAATGAGGAAAATACCCATAACAAATTACTGATTATTGCAGGTGAGCTGTCTCTGATTCAAACAAGGATGGGGGTTATTTTTGAACAATGTTAACACAAATATCCTCCCTCCCCCAAATCTCAAACCAAAACTGCTTTGTATTTTTAATCTTCCCATAAAAATTTACGTATTACAATTACCTTTTAAGTGTAATTACTTGGGCTAGCATGTTTATATAAATATTACATACATATTATATCCTATTTTCTCACCTATTTCACAGTTTAAAGTGAGTTAGTTCCAAGCAAGAAAAATCTGAACCTTTTACAGACACTACTGCTCTTAAATGCTTATTGTAACAGACTATGATCAATCCTAACACTATCCTTAAAACTACATCAGGGCCCTGGCCTGGTAGCTCAGCTGGCTAGAGCATTGTCCCTACACCATAAAGTTGCAGATTCGACCCCCATCAGGGCACGTACAAGATCAACCAATGAATGCATAAATAAGTAGAACGACAAATCGATGTTTCTCCTCTATCTCTAAAATCAATTAAAATAACAACAAAAAACTACATTAGCCCTGGCCAGGTGGCTCAGTTGGTTGGAGCACCGTCCCATACACCAAAAGGTTGCAGGTTCGATCCTGTTAGGGCACATACCTAAGTTACAGCTTAGATCCCTCATCAGGGTGTACACAGGAGGCAACTGATCGATGTTTCCCTCACATCAATGTTTCTCTTTCACTCTCTGAAATCAATAAACATATCCCTGGATGAGGATTAAAAAAAGAAAACCTACATCAAAGTTATTTTTTTTAATGATTTACCCACAACATGGAAATTATGACAGATAACCATAAGAGGCAATATGTGCCTATTTCCACCAGAACCAACTCATGACCTAAAAATAAAAGCCAGGACCTCCAACAGCTTATTTAGAACAAAAGCATACATTAAGTGCCCTTCCTGGAGTGGGCATTCATATATTGTTGACAATCTCTCTAGTTCATCTCTTAAGGTCATAGCCACAAAGATGATAGCAACAGCAGCCAATACTCAACAAGGGTCTCTTCCACAGGGTGCCAAGAGCTATATCTGCATTATTTTATTTTGTCCTTACCACAACCAACAAAGAGGAGAGGCCTAAGATTCCTTACCCTGCAATCCTATAGTCCAAAAAGGTCTGCAAACCAAGTGTTTTCCTCAAATGTGGTACAATACTCATTCGGGAGCAAAAATGATCTGTGAGAACAATCTTTCTTTATACCACTAGGTATAGAAATAATGTGTTTAATTATTGGGTGCTAGCCCACATTCCGATGTGGGTGCTATGGAATGTCCTTTTCTCAAGCCGGAATTCCAAAACACCCATCACCAAGGGTTTCAAACAAGGATCAGTGGACCGACACTTTAATTTAGGGAACTAAAGGGAACTCAGTGAGGGAACTCAGAAGAGGCACTGGGGAAGGAAAAAGCCTAAAGTATACAAACCCAACCTTTTCAACCTTCCCTAATTAAAGAGGACAAATTCAGTCCTTACTGGTGTGGCTCAGTGCATTGAATGCCGGCCTGCAAACCAAAGGGTTGCTGGTTCAATTCCCCATCAGGGCACATGCCTGGGTTGTAGGCCACGTCCTCAGTACAGTGCAGTGAGCACAAGAGGCAACCACACACTGATGTTTCTCTCCTTCTCTTTCTCCTTCCCTTCCCCCTCAAAATAAATAAATAATCTTAAAAAAAATTTTAAGTAAATAAATAAAGAGGGTACATTCAGCCCTGACCAGGCAGCTGGGTTGCTCAGTTGAATAGAATATTGTCCCATCAGCCTGATACACCAAGGTTGCAGGTTTGATCTCTGGTCAGGTCACATACAAGAATCAACCAGTGAAAGCATAAATAAACAGGACAATAAATCGATGTTTCTTTCTCCCCCCCCCCCGCCCCCGCTTCCTCTCTAAAACCAATTTAAAAAAAAAAAAGTAGAGAGGGTACATTCAAATGGATTCTCTCCAGGGACCAAGTAGCTTCCCGAGATACCTAAATTCTAAGCATTGATGAAACAGATCAAGAAACACTAAAAGCATTCTTCATGCGTTTCACCTATGGGAAAGCCTCAGTGTAAAAAGGAACCCTACAATGGCTTTTCCACTGTTTGTTGAAATAGCTTGTGGAAACCTTTTTGTTCAGCAATCAGGCAATCAACAATACGGCACCAAACTTTAGGTAATGTGGTTTGTAAGTACTGCAGCTGCAAGTGGACCCTACCACATGCTGATACGAACATATTGTACGAAAGCTGCAGAGCGAAAGCTCTAAGTCTGCTCAGGGGAGAGGAGCCTTGGTTCATTCTTTGGGGGGGAGGGGGGAGGAAAGGCAATCTATGCAGCCTTAAGAGGTCAATGGCAACCTCTGCTCGAATTCCATCCTCCATACATTACACTAACCTTCTGTTCCACAACACTGTCCCCAGGTCTGGACTTTCAGTAGCCAGTTATGCTCTAACTGTGAGTAAATTCTTTCTTGTCTGGTTCATACATCATTCTCTTCTTGGTTTGATGAACCAGTTTGACCTACTCTGGGTGAAAAATAAGCAAGTTTTTGGTCCTATAAAGCTAAGGGTCAGACCATGGATTTATGGTAACTATGCATCATAGCTGTCTCCTCTTGGCCAGCCTCCCTGACATCATTTTCACATAAAAATAAACAAAGCTTCTCCGTTTATTTTCCTTCTTTTTCTGAAAGGGGAAAACTATGTGCTGGAAACCAGCCTCCAAGATGACCTCTAATGATTCTTGCCTTCTGCCATGATGTTATCCCTTCCCAAACTGATAGAGGTGGTCAGTGTAACCAGTAAGATTACAAAAATGACTGAGTATGACTTCCAAGGCTTCCACCCTGTGTTCTCTTAGATCATTCACTCTGGGGGAAACTAGCCACCGTGCTGTGGGGTTCTTTCAGGAGGACTGTGGAGAGGCCCACATGGTGAGGAACCAACAGCCAACATCAAACTACTAGTCATGTGAATTCAAGTCACCTTGGATATGGGTCCTTCAGCACCCGTCAAGCCTTCAGTTCAGACTAATACCCAAAATGTAATCTCACCTGGCCAGTGTCACTCACTTGTTTGGAGTGTCATCCTGTACCCCAAAAGGTTTGATTCCCAGAACATGTCTAGACTGCAAGTTCAATCCCTAGTCGGGGAAGCCTTCAAGAGGCAACCAAGAGATGGTTCTCTATTATGTTAATCTCTTCTTCTCTCCCCACATCTCTCTAAAAGCAATGAAAAATAACTTCATGTGAGGAATTAAAAAAAAAAAAAGTAGCCCTGGCTGGTGTAGCTCAGTGGATTGAGCATGGGCCTGGGAGCCAAAGGGTCACTGGTTTGATTCCCAGTCAGGGCACGTGTCTGGGTTGCGGGCCAGGTCCCCAGTAGGGGGCACGTGAGAGGCAACCACACATTGATGTTTCTCTCCCTCTTTCTCCTTCTCTTCCCCTCTCTCTAAAAATAAATAAATAAAATCTTCAAAAAAAAAAAAAAAAGAATGTAGGGTTTGTTCTCCAAACCCTAAATGTTCTCCAATGTAGGGTTCTATATGTTCTTATACAGAAACTGTGAGATAATAAATGTTCCTATAAAAAGACCGATAGCATTTAAGACCTTTGTTTGAAGGCCTGCTCCTGGCTTTTTCTGTCCTGTGTTTCCACTGCTCTCATCTTTCCCCTCAGTGCCAGAGATGGAGACTCCTTTCTCAAGTACACATAAACTAAGTTCAAAAGTTGGACAAATTATCAGAAAGATAATTTATTTTAATCACATTCTATTAGTAATAGTAATTATAACATTTGCTCCAAAGCCTCCAGAACTTCTCCTTAAAAGCAAAATGGTTGTCTGAGATACCATTAAAGTGTCTTTGACTTTAGTGGTCTGCTTTTTAAAAATGAAAGACATTATAAACCTACCATGGTTTTCAGTTCTCAAGATCAAGGAAAAAAACTAATTATAACCTCATTAGCTTTGCTAACTCACTACTCACTCAAACCCAGAACCTACAGATCTGGAGTTTGAATTCAGACTTGGCCATTAGGGACCTCTCTAACTCAAGTTTCCTTGTCTATAAATATAAATGCTTCATTTTTAAGTTACCCCACAGTACCTAACCATTCCTATTGTGGCTTCTTCAGCAGCCTTGCCCCTAGACACAGAACTGTCTTCCAGTTCTTGGTAAGACCTGGTGAAAAAGATTACATCTCAATTACACAGATGTCAGTAACAACCCTAATGACTTTCCTCCTGAATTAGGAAAGTTACAGAAATGCTTGGGCAGGGTTGCCCAATCTTTGCATTACTAATTTGCAAGCCAGATGATTCTTTTATTTTTTGAAGACTTTATTTATTTACTTTTAGAGAGAGAGAAAGAGAGAGAAAATCATCGATCAGTTGCCTCTTGTACTTGCCCCAACTGGGGACTGGCCTGCAACTCAGGCATGTGCCCTGATGCGGAATCAAAGGAGCAACCTTTTTGCTTTCCAAGCCAATACCCAATCAACTGAGTCATACCGGTCAGGGCAAGAGAGATAATTCTTTGTGGTGGGAGCCCATCTTGCACACTGTAGGATGTTCAGCAGCATTCCTGATCTCTATCCACTGGATGACAGTTGCACCCCTCCTCCCTGACATGACAACCAAAAATGTCTCCAAACATTCTCAAACGTCCCCTAGAGGGTAATAATCACCCCTGGTTGAAAACCACTGGACTATAGGATGATTGATCCTGACATGGGAGGCCCGGCACCATCTTCTTGCGGAGACCAACATAAAGCAGCCTTCAGAGGAGCCATAAAGGCTTAGGTTCCTTTCTCAGTTCCCAACACTCCAGAGTAGAACCCTGGTTACCGGGCAACCACACGTGTTCAGCCTAATACCCCCGTCGACAGGGATGGGGGGAGGGGGAGGTGTGGTTGTGGGTCGCTCCTGTTTGAGCAGCCTCATTGGTTACTACCACGACAAACCCCGCAGTCCGATTCACCCAGGGATGATTTACAATTGCCCAAGCATATTCCTGGCGCCCCTCTCTGAACTCATCATCTATCCTCCACTTTGCTCAAGTCCTACTGGTCTCCCTGGAAGATCTCTTAAGGAGCCAGGCAGCTCCTGCACCGTGCCCCCACCCCCAGCCTATATGTCAACGGCTCCCTAGGCCAGATATTCTTCTGAACTCCCTTACTGTATGTAGTCCGGTCTCTGCTTGAGCGTTACCTTTTTAGAAATCTCCAAGCAGCCCATGTAATAGAAAACCCCCTCAGAGTACTGACCAGCCCAGAATATATCCCATACTCATTTGTTTGCTTGCTTTGGTCTGCCTTGGCCTATAAACTGCTTGAGGTATTCTTGCCAGTATTTCAGTGCCGATCCAGCACCTGTCAAAATGAATCTGACAGATGGTGAATGAATTACCATGGCAACCAGCCATTCCGCTCAAGTCTCAGGCTCAGGCTCAATTCCTCCTCAAGGCCCAAACTACCCCGCTAAGTCCAAACCCTCCAAATATTTACTCTTCACCCCGGGACCCATGCCTCTCCCAGCCCGGGACCCACGGGGGTGGGGGTGGGGGGCTGCGACATCTTGCAAGGACACTGTGCAGGGGAGGGTGCGGCAACGGCGACAGAGGCCGAGCCTGCTGACTGATCCAAAGGGGCTAGACGTGAGAAAGGACGACCTGTGGCTGCGAAGTTCGAGGAAGCCGGGCCGGAAGCGGAGGTGGGGAAAGAAAAGACCTCGAGTCCCGAGACAGTAGCCCGCAGACACAGGCGACAGAAGCCATGACCTCCGGCGGCCCGGAGCTGGGACGCGAGGGAGCAAGCACAGAGAACTGCGGAGCCGAAGGTTGAGGAGCGCGAATCTAGGCGACCGTCCCTCGGCGCCATTTTGTGACCACAGAGAGGGCAGTATCAAGGCCTCGGGGAAGGAGCGGGTGAGCCCTGCGCGGCCTTGGTACGTCCCAGTCCCTGGAGACCCGACCCCTAACCCAGCCGGGCTCACCTGTGTAGCTCATGGCAGCGGCGAATACTACACTAGAAAACTCTGACAGGCGCACCGCACATCTGACGCCGAAATACACAACACAATCCCACAGGCTTTCTGCACACAACCGAGCCCCGCCTCCCAATTGCATTGGCTCGCTCCCGGCTTTGGCTTCACGCCTATTGGGCCACCACGCTGTCTATACCAAACGCGGAGGGCGTTGCCAATCTCACGAAAGCCCCACCCTATTCCCCCCCCCCGCCTTCCGTTATCTCAAGCCCGCGGTGATTGGCTAAAATAAGCAGCTCTGGAGGTGGAGTCCAGTGGGGTTCGAAGGGGCGGAGATATGCACTACGGAACACCCTAAGGCTCAAGAGCGCCGGGTGGGTGGAAGGTCTGTGTCTCCTAGGCCCACCAGAGGGAGCCGGTTCAGGCCACCGGGGTGCTGTGCCAGCCTGGGCTATTTGTAACATCTCTGGCCTTCACCTTCAAAACGAGCACGGTAAAGTCATGTTGCAATGAAAATAACTAAGCGCCAAACAAGATGCTGGGCATAAGTTCAAGCATGTGAGACAATATATGTAATCAGTCTGGTGCCGGGTGTACTAAATGTTATATTTTGTTTTCAATGGGTGTATAACAATAGCAAATATATTTATATAGCATGTTTATATTATATATGTAATAAGTGGATTGTTTCTCATCTTGAATGCTTCCTCACACCTGTGAGGACCTTTAAAAAATTTTCTCAGCCCTGGCTGGTGTGGCTTGGTAGATTGAGTGCCTCCAGCCTGTGAACCAAAAGGTTGCTGGTTTGATTCCAAGCAGGGCACATGCCTAGATTGTGGGCATGCGAGCAACTGAT